TGTGCATCCCAAATCGCGGCGGCTTGTTGTGAGATCATGGGGACGGTGGTGCTGGCGGCGCCACGCAAAGAAGATCAAGCCTTTGGCACAGCGGCCAGCCGGCTGTGCAGTCACGCGGCAGGCCAACATTCCGGCTTGACAGCAACTGCCAGTTGCGACACGGCCCCAAAGCATGGAGCATGCCAGCGCTTATTGAGCGAGCCCCCGTGTCTACCCGCATCCCTGTTTACTCACAACACCTTCCCACCTGCGGGCTCGCCCCGTCGCGCATCACGCGCCCTCCCCCCACCCCAACCAAAAATGTCCTGTGGACGTATTTCATCTTCGTGGAGGCTGCCGCCATCCTGCCATCATTACTAATTGTGGCAAACTGTCAGCGCGGCCTTGCACAGAGCGCCATCCAAAGCGAAGGATGGCTGTTGCGGTTGTGGCATGGTGGTCATCATCGTTTGACAGTTGGGGCGCCTCTCTGCAGGCATCGCACCCCGGTCACAGTAAGAACAGAGAGGAGTGACGAGGGAAAGAATTGGGGAGTTTGTGAAGAAGTATGGAAGCTTTGTGGGTAAAACAAGCAAGGGCATTGTTGTTGGTGCCCAAGGCTTTCGCAAGGGGCCGCCTCGAAAGCGGCGCTGCGGGTGGGTAGCCGGCCGAGCAGCCTGGGCCGCAGTGCCAATGTCAGCTGATATTGACGATGATGACATGGAGGAGGCAGCGCTAGCAGTGCTAATTTTGTGATTGCAGCGCGCCAGCACGCACGCACGCACGCTAGGTTGTCATTCGCGGCACTGACCGTTTTGCGACAAAGTGCCCAATATCCAACCAATCCCGCCCCACAATGGGCAACCAGACTTGATGCGGCTGTTGCCCTACCCGTTTGGGGGGGAGGGAAGTGGAACGAGCAAGGTGTCAGTGCAGCAGAGCGACTGATCAAAGCCTCTAAAAAAGGGGGCATCATGTCCTGTGCGTCCACGCCCCGGGATACTGCAGCGCGTGGAATGAAAGCCAAAGGGTCCGAGTAACTCAACATCCTGTGCTGCGGTGACAGTGGATGGAGGCGGAACGAACAATACCGTGTTGTGGCGTGTACTGTTGAAGCGCATTCGCGCGGCACAAGGGCCTGTGCCGGCTTTGCTGGCGCGGGCTCAAAGCTGGTGCGCCCCCCGCCAGTTGATCACAGCACTGCCTTGTTAGACCAGCACCCAGCATGCGCCAGTCTGTTGAGAGACAGCTGGGAGGGGGGCAGTTGGATGAGGACTAGGATTGTTACAGCGTCTGGCTGTCGCCCAGTTCTGGAGATGGGCCGCCCCTGCCTGCCAACAAGCGTGCTTGCCCTCTGCAGGGGTGCGAAATAAGCAAACTCACCCTCAAAGCCCCCCTTCAGAGGCTCGAGCGGGGCAGCACAGTCGCCGGGGCAACCGCACCATCGTGCATTGTACCCCCACAATGCCTTGCTGCAGCAGTTGGCAGCTGGCAGCTGCCACTAGATTGCGCCGGTGACATCATGCGCACCAATACACTTGCCGTCGGCGCGGCCAAGAATCAATGCACCACACCTATGCAACCCACATTTTTTACACTTGATTCGCACTCTCAGGCGCCAGCATCGCCCTCCGTACACCACACTGTCACTCCTGTGAATACACATGCAGGCCTGCTGTGCGCCTGCGCCTCATCTGGCCACCTGGCTGTACCCCAAGCTCACGCCCTCTGCTGCTCTGGTCGGCTCGCCGTCGCATCAAAACCAAGAGTGCACGCCCGCACTCTTGGTTTTGATGCGAGTCCCAGTGGAACGAGTGCGGGCAGGGATACTCCACACCACTCACTTTGAGCATGGTGCTGCTTTACGCACCATTGCCACTGCGCCCCCTGTGAGACGCTGACAGCCGACTGTAGTACGACTCCGAGGTGATTGAGGTATGCTTTTAGTCACTACCCTCGCTTGGTTGTAGCGGATGAACACGGCAAGATGGTGTCAAGGTCATCTGAAAGTGATCACCCCAGTAGTGATGGGGGTGTCACCGTGCAAAACTGTGTAGTCAACACGCGTTGGGGGCCTCCAAACCCGTCGTAGCGGCATTATAGCCACCCCATCAACATTTGAAAGTTGCACCTTGCCGTTACTTGAAGGCTCGGGCCCCCGGCCGCGATTTTGAGGGACGCAACACATTGCGCTTGCTCATCCCGGGAGGTTCCAGGGCGTTGGCCCAGCAGCTTCATTCACACCTGAACACCTGCGCCCATGTGTCGACAATGAAAGCTCTATACGTAATGTTGAACTTTTAACGTGTGTTCGTTGGAGCCGGGCCGCCCGAGTTCGCACGCTGATGAGTAAGCCATGATCTCAACACATGGGTTACAACCCTTGTCGGTCTCATCGTAGAACCACATCTGCACAGATGGCCTTGCACATAAGTCGCAGCTGATGTGAACTGCGTTTACTCCTCAACCACATTGGACTTGTGGTCGGCCAGGATAGGAACCGTCTCACCAGCGCCAGTGCCAAGTGTGGGAAGCAGCAATGGGGTTACATTCTGTCGTATACCGGAAAACGTCGCCGCGTTTGGCAGCGAACTCTTGTTTGGCTCGAATCAGTACTCCCCCGACTCACTGACTCCCGTCGCCACAGGCCCAGCATGCGGTGTTTAAGGAGATCCCTCATGCTTTTGGCGGTGATACTGCTGCTTCTCAACACGCTGGGCGGCGTTATGTCTGCCAGGTGCGCACGCAGGCCTGTGCGGCCGGGGGTGTGCGGGCACCTCCTGATCAAAGCAAGCGAGTGCCTGACACGTGCAGTTTGGCGCACAAGAAGTTGTATAATACAATCACTGCCATGCACCGGCAGGCCCCACAACTTGCACATGGAAGCCTTTCTGTCGCACGCCAGCCTCACAGTGGATGACACCCCAAGTTACTGTCTGCGAGCTAATTGCCCACACCCCAGCTTGTGTGCTTGCGCTGTTGACCTACAGTGCATGCCCGGGGACGCTTCCGTTTTAGATGTCTTAACAGCGTGCAACTTAGCTGATCCGCACCGCCGTCCTTTCGCTGACCCTGCCCACTTGGCAACCCCCGCAGCCCTCAAGCGACCCGCAAGAAGAAGCTGGCGGTGGTGAGTGACGCCTGCGGTGTGCCACGCAAGGCCTTGCTGCGCACCTGAAGGCGCACATCAGCTGGTCGCTTGCTTCGGCCCAGCTTGGCCGCCATGCTTGTCGGCGTGTGCCGTGCGGCTATGTAAAAACGCCTGCCTGCCCCGCACTATATGTTTGGCTTCTGTGAACGAAGCCAGCATCATGCTGTGCAGGCATGAACCAACCCTGCTTTGATCGCTCACCCCCATACACAGTGCGCGCCCGTCAAGGCTTTGGTCAAGTCGTGCACCTCCAAGGCCGGCCCGACTGCCTTGATGGACCAGCTGTGCAGCGAGCTGCTAGCACCTGCCAACGCTACGGCCGACAGCAAGGTGCGTGCGTGCGCGCGCGCGCGCATACAAACCCACACACATTCTTGTAGCACAAGCATGCGCGCATTCACGCAGATGGGCTTCTGTGTGCTGGTATGGCAGCAAACAGACGCGATGACACAGTAATGACTTACCTTGTTGTTGGTGCGTGGGTGAAGGCAACTACTGCTCTTCCAGCACCACTGGATGCTGTTCGACCATCAAGATACCGCAAGTTTGTCCTAATCACCACACTGGTTGTTATTCACATTTATCAACCGACACGCTTCTATCTATCTGCTCCACCAGGACCCCACCAAGCTGCGCTATGGTTGCGGCGTGGCGACCGCTGCACAGGTCGACAGAGTGTCCAGTGACCTGGCAGCCCTTGAGCCCAAGGTCACCGCCGCCGTCGCCCAGGCCAGCTCTCTGCAGGCCACCTTCGTCCAAGGAAGCAACGTGACAGCCGCGCTGCGCGCTCAGGTGGACGAGCTCAAAGCAGCTATTGCGGCGCTCACCGCCGCCTTGCAAAAGCTGCAAGCAAAAGCCGCCAACGCCACTGTCCCGGGCACCATCACACAGGAGCTCGCCGCCCTTGCCGCCACCGACACGCGCACCGCCCAGCAGCTGGCCCTGCTGGAGGCGGCAAACCAGACTGCGGCCCGGGACATCGCGGCGCTCAAGTCAGCGTCGCAGCAGTGCTCTTGCAGCCTGGAGCTGTCAGCCGTCAACACCACCCTGGCCGACATCAGGGCAGCCCAGACGGCGGACGCGGCGGCGGTCTCCCTGGCCAACGCCACCGTGGAGTCCCTGAGGGTCACAGTCACCACAGGCGCGGCAGCCATCGCCTCAGTCAACACCAGCCTCACCGCCCTGGCAGCCAATGTGGCCAATGTGTCTGCCATCGACTTGAGCGTCTACGCGAAAACCACTGACCTGGCCAACATCAACGCAGTCAGCCTGGGGGGCGTGCCCGCTGCGCAGTACCTGCGCTCACGAGTGGTGCTTTACAGCGAATCCTCCACTGGAAGGGATGGAAACCTTGGTGGCCGGTCTGGTGCCGATGCCTTGTGCAGCGCCTCCCCCAACCGGCCGACCGGGCTTGTGCAGGTGCGCGCCTTCCTATCGGTATCCGCTGGCGACCAGATTGCTGATTTTCCCGCAAAGTACGGTGTCCCCGGCGGCCTGGCAATCGAGTCGCCGACCGGCGCCGTCCTGGCTGGAAACTTCACACGCCTGCTGGGGGGCAGCATCTTGCTGTCCCTGCAGGATGCGGGCGTTTTTTCGACGAATGTGGTGTTGTGGACTGGCAGTGAATCAAGCGGCGTAGTCGCAGGCGGTACATGCAACGGGTGGACCAGTTCCGTATCAACGGTGTTCTCAAATTTTGGACGATCATTCCGTAGTGATGTCCAATGGATAGCAACTGGCTTTGACCGGTGCAGCAACAACGCATTCTTGATGTGCATTGCTTACTGATTTGTCGGGTCTGAAAGCGATGCATGCCTGTACCATGTCTTGGGAAGCACGCGGCATTGCACTCGGTTACGCTGCCAGCAGGTGTAGCCTGCATCACCCTGCACACAGCATTTATCAGTTGGGCTTCATCCTGTTCCACAACGGCACACCCAGCCGGGCTGCGTGCACGTACTTTGCGATTGCTGATGGACGGGCCTGCTGCCCTCAGTTGTGTCATCATCAACGCGTTGAGTAACGGTCTTTACCCATTCTCTTCCACAGGCTCATGAACACCGCCTACGCTCCACCTTGTCTAGTAGCTTGCAATATGTGCGCACGCTCGGCGCCCTCTGCACACCACCAGGCGCCCTCTGCACACCACCAGGCGCCCGCTGCACACGCACACAACATTGCACACCTGCCCGGGGGTGTGTTCTGCTGCGGTTCAAACCGGTGGAAAGAATTCGTTCCACCTGGGATGGGGCCCTCTGTGTGCATCACCGGTAAGCCTTCGCCAGTCAGGGAGTGCCATACACATGGATTGAAGCAGCTGAGCAGCGAAGGCCAGTAAGCTGTTGTGGCGCAGCCGGAGTTCCCACTACGGTATAGTTGACGGTGACAATGCATCTGGGCCAGATCTGTGCAGCTTCGGGAGCGCCTGCACATGTTATTGTGATGAAGTGCCTGCAGAGCTGGTGCGCTTCTTGAACTCGCCATGCAAGCCTGTGCGTGACCCGCCATACCTGATGCTGCTTCGCCCCCACGAGATTGAATGCGAACTCGTGTGAAGGGTGCAAAACGGTACCAGCCTAGATCATGCGCTCTGGCGCGATCAGCAGCGGGACTGGCGGATTTGAGGACGCGCATATAAGGCCTCAGCGCAAGGTAAGAAATCCGCGGAGCAGGCAAGCGCTGAATGGGCTGAGGCAGGGGCGTCACCAGGCGATTATGAGGATGTAGAGGCGAGGAGGAGGCTTTTGCAGAGGACGGTAGCACGCAGGATGGTGAAGAAAGCTCATACGTACGAGAAGGTTGAGCAGTGCTGCGATTCCACAGCTCCCAGTCCACTGCTCTTGCTGCACCCCACTCAGCCCAGCGCACAGCAATCGCAGCACCACCAGCTCTGCCAAGTCCAGCTATGGGTGTTCTGAAGCATAACCCCTGTGAATGCACCAGTGGCGTCTTGGCCAGCTGGTGTCAGACTTGTCGGGCTGCGCAAACCCTGTGCGCCAAGCAACCGGGCGCCGCGCGCGCTCTCGATGCAATGCCCCACAGGCAATATCTAGTACTGGCTGGTCGCTGTCTTGCCAACGGTGGCAGTGTGAATGTTGCTTTGAAGGGCTTTGAGCGTCCACTGTGGCCCGAGGTCGCATGTGCTGCCCAGGGTGGACAGGCACTGAGCTGCAGCAGGGTGTGAGGGGCAGGTGCATGATTCAGGCACCAGGATGGGTTGAGTGATTCCATCTCGCCTGGTGGTAGGCAGCCTGGTACGCGTGGAATGGCAGCTGTTGCTTGGGCAAAACCCGCCACTGATTGAGCGCAATCGAGTGGGCACAGCTGGTTTCCCGGAGGCCCCCCAGCTCCGAGTGCCTGGCATCGCATTTCGACCTCATGGGTGAACTGGCCGATCAGGTCAGTCGCAGAACCCGACCAAGGCGGAAGGTTTGGGGCCACGAAGAGCAGCTGGCGGAGCTGAGGCGGCGAGCTGAGGAGGGCGCGGTTCAGCGCGGGAGGGGAGGGGGGGCGTGGCGGCGGCCGTTGATAGCGGCGGCGCGGCCGGCCACGGCAACAGCGGGCTGTTGTGCAAGGAGCTGGGCGACGGCGGCGGCGGGCGCTGCTGCAGGCGACGGGCGCCAGGTGGGGGCCGGAGGGGGTTGGTGGGGAGATGCTGCCTTGGCGGGCTTCAGGTGCTGGGGAGCAGGCACTCTCGGGCAGCTTGTGGGTTCGGCGCTGCATGTGCGAGGAAGGTGAGGCATACAAGCCATGGCTCATGACCCTAAAATGATGGCGATCACCGTCCCAAAGGCGGAGCGCGGCCTCACCAGTGCACGCCAAACGACAGGCCAAGGCAGGGCAGCCCAGGCGGTGCTGCGACCGTCTGCAGCTGAGCGGGCAGCCTGTGCAGAGAGGTGTCAAACGCATGCGCCGTCCGTCCACATACCCCTGGTTCAAACCCACGCTGTTGTGTCATTGATGTTGAGATGTATCACCCCGCCATTGTGATCGTCTGCGGCTGCGGCGGCCAAGGTGGTGGTGGCAGTGGCACCTCGTGTGGCGGGCGGGGTCTATCTCCGGCGCAGCGGGCGTGGAGGCATGTGGTGCGCAGGCAATGGGGGCCACGAACCAGGGAACTGCTGCGGTTCAGTTGCAGCGCGCATGCTCCAGGTCAGGAGGCACGTACCCCCAGATGTGCGCAGGACGCCCTGCGCACATCAAGCGCCCAGGGCCAGTTTCGGGCCACCCAGCTCCCTTGTCGTTCCTCTCCTACCATAGAGCCCGTCGCCCACCTAGGATCACCTGCATCGGTCTTTTCTGATCACCCTGGCTTGCGTTTTCGTCCGCCTGCAAATGCCCGTTTGCAGCTCCACGATGTGACGCCCCAGGCGCTGCTGCCCGTCGTCCCCCACTTGTCGGCTGAGCTCTGCGCCACCGACGAGTCAAAGCGCCCGGGGCAGCTGTTTGGGCAGCGGGGCGGCGGCGCAGTGGCGGAGGAGTGGGGGGTCGTCCTGACAGAGCTGCTGAGGCGCTGCAGGATGAGAAGGTGGGGCGGGGGAGGCGGGGCTGCAAAGGAGTCTTAGTGTGCGTTGAGAGCGAGACAAGGGGGCCCACAGCAGAGCCTCAGCCCTTGAACTCATGAGCAGAAGCCAGCTGGCGCGCGCCCCTCGCCCGCGGTTGTTGGGGCCTCAGCAGGCGCCAGCTTTGCTAAGAGGCACTCGGAACGTCCCCCCCCCCCCATGTGCGCCTCTGTGGCGCCCTTCCACCCCTGATGTCCTCACCGTCTCTGCCCTTGCTCGCTGGCAGCCCGAGATTTGCATGGAGCTGATGCCTCTGGCGGCGCAGATGGTCGGCAGCCTGAAGCCTGAGAAGATGAGGACCAAGGTGGGGCGGGCGGCAGGGTTCAAGGGTACGTGACGGCCGTCCCTGTTCTGTGTTCGAATCGGGCGCTCAAGCAGCACTCAACGGATCTCCGCGGGGCGGCTGGGGCGCAGCAGGGCAAGTCGCCAAGCTGGTCCCTTGCGCCTGCTGCGCGTCGCTGCATGCCAGGCTGAGGTTGGCCCCGCGGCGCCCCCTCCTGTCCCTCCAGGTATTGAA